TCTATCTATCTCACACACACACACACACACACACACACACGGAAAAAATAAAAGAAAGGGCAAAAAAGATCGCACCACGTGGCTCCCCACCCCGCCACCGGCCTCCCCTTCAGTCCGCTCCTCCCCCTCTTCTTTACCCACTCCCTTCCCTCCACTGGTGCACCCATCCTCCTTTCACAGTTGTGAGTGTTCTGCTTCATCCCAATCTCAGATTCCAAACAACTGCCTCCTCCCCCTCTTCTCTACCCACTCCCTTCCCTCCAGTGGTGCACCCATCCTTCTTTCACGGTTGAAGTGTTCTGCTTCATCCCAATCTCAGATTCCAAACAACTGCCATACCACTCCTCCTTTTTCTCTGATCATGACTGCCCGGCATTCTCCTCTCCCTTGCCATTGGATTCCGATCCAGAGTCTTTCACGTCATGTTGTTCCTCCAAAGTCTTTTCCCTCCACTTTCGCCCTAGTCATACAGGATCTAATCACATCACCATGTCCAATCTTCATGTCCCCTCTTTCCCTCTCCATTTCTTCCCGATGTTGCCCTGCCTCTTCTGCATTTCTCAATCAGAGTCGATAAGAAGAAAAAAAAACACCATAGCCTGCTTCTACCCCTTCTCAATCCGACTTCCTGATGTCCGCAACATAATCTTCAGCATCATCTTGATGTTCATCAGCCAGTGTGGCCATGGTCTCTCTCTCTCTCTCTCTCTCTCTCTCTCTNTTCCTGATGTCCGCAACATAATCTTCAGCATCATCTTGATGTTCATCAGCCAGTGTGGCCATGGTCTCTCTCTCTCTCTCTCTCTCTCTCTCTCTGTGTGTGTGTGTGTGTGTGTGTGGATGTGTGTATTTGCCATGTTCGCTATTATGTGGTGTGTGTGTGTGTGTGTGTGTGTGTGTGTGTGCGTGTGTGCGCGTGTGTGTGTGTGTGTGCAAGCAGATGAATGTCTGCATGTGCACAGATGTGTCTCCACGGATGTGTGTGCGCTGATGTGTGTGTGTGTGTGTGTGTGTGTGTGTGTGTGTGTGTGTGTGTGTGTGTGTGCATGTTCGTGTTTGTGCGCGTCAGTTTTGTCACATTCGCCACACATATCTCAGCAAAAGGAAGCATGACAGACTGTTTCGCCGAACTTCACCGACTCATCAGGAGGTTGAACCTTGAGAGTCTGCCCAGGATGCAAGTGCAAACATGCGTGGTCATGTGTGTGTCCAGGATGCAAGTGCGTACATGCGTGGGCATGTGTGTGTCCAGCATGCAAGTGTGTACATGCGTGGATATGTGTGTCCACGTGTGTGCTTGCTTTTGAGTGCGAGAGAGAGAGGGCGCGTTCGACCATGAGCAAGAACCATCAGCCACACTAAAGGGCCATACTGTTCAGTGCGTAGAGGAGTCGGTTCGCATAAGGCGTTTATCGGCTTTGTTACGATACAGCGCATCCACGGGTCACGTATAGAGTATGGCCAGTATGGCCAGGCCCTGAACTCAACGGGCCATCAGCGGGCCAATGCCCAACAGGCACTGTGCGTTACGCCCGGCAGTTCTTTCAACTACCTACCTCAGCAGACTATTCCAGCGGACGAAATCAGAAATCAGCACAGTTCTCAATCTGTGATCTCGCAGGTCATTACACAGCGGAAGACTGAGAGCACATTACTGACTCATCAGGGTCGAGATGCAACACATCTCATACCATCATCACGAGGTGCAAGGAGGTGCAAAAAGGGGAACATGCATAGAAGAACAATCCCTCCTTGCTCAGTGGGCCGCAGATGGGAGAAAGAAGATGGGGATGTCAGGCCCAGCTCACAGAAGAGATATGGAGCTGAGATAGACACGAGGAAGAAGATGGGGACGTCAGCCCCAACTCAACACTTGAATAATCATAGTCCTTGAGTCCAGAATTGTCACCAAAAATCGTGTCCAGTCCGAACTGGGTGGCAGCGCGTCCCTGGCCTCTCTCTCTCTCTCTCTCTCTCTCTCTCTCTCTCTCTCTCTCTCTCTCTCTCTCTCTCTCTCTCTCTCTCTCTCTCTCTCTCTCTCTC